GCAATTTATGGTTAAATAAACTGTGAATTTGTCAATGTCAAAACCTTTTATCATTTGCTCATGCGTGCCTTGTTAAATGTCATTAATTTTCTTCACCACTTGCACGCTTTATTAGTAAATTTTAGACCGGACAGTGAACCGGTTATCATTGATAATGATGATATATATCCAAATAAACCAAACCTTAACCGAACAATTTCCCAATGTTAAACGACGCCGTTAAAGCATGAAAATTCTAATAATCCAATACGACAGAACTTTGACGAAAAACTCCTCAGAAGAGATTCAAAATTACGGTCATGTGCCACTAACTACTAAAATCCATCGACCACACAGAGACAAAAAATGCCACTGCTCCTCCGGCGATACCTTTCTCACTCCGTCGTCTCCTCTTCGTTCTTCCGCCGCTCAATGGCTTCATCATCAATCTCCTCCGATCCAATCAAACCATCAAACACCAAAATCGGATGGATCGGAACCGGCGTTATGGGCAGATCTATGTGCGGACACCTAATCAGAGCCGGTTACTCAGTCACCGTCTTCAATCGCACAATCTCCAAAGCCCAGACTCTACTCGACATGGGTGCGAAGCTAGCAGACTCGCCGAGATCAGTCGCCGCTCAATCCGACGTGGTTTTCTCCATCGTCGGTTACCCTTCCGATGTCCGTCACGTCCTCTTAGATCCAAACTCCGGTGCTTTATCCGGTCTCCGTAAAGGCGGAGTCCTCGTCGACATGACTACCTCAGAGCCTTCTTTAGCCGAGGAGATAGCTAAATCCGCTTCCTCCGTGAACTGTTTCTCAATCGACGCTCCTGTTTCCGGCGGAGATCTCGGAGCTAAGAACGGAAAGCTATCGATATTCGCCGGAGGTGATGGAACCACCGTGAAACGATTAGATCCGTTGTTTTCGTTGATGGGTAAGGTTAATTTCATGGGTACAAGTGGAAAAGGTCAGTTTGCGAAACTGGGGAATCAAATCACAATCGCTTCGACAATGTTAGGTTTAGTGGAAGGGATAATCTATGCACACAAATCAGGGCTCGATGTTAAGAAGTTTCTTGAAGCTATATCGACTGGTGCGGCAGGTTCAAAGTCTATAGATCTGTATGGAGATAGGATTATGAAGAGGGATTTTGATCCAGGGTTTTATGTGAATCATTTCGTTAAGGATTTAGGGATTTGTTTGAATGAATGTCAGAGAATGGGATTGGCTTTACCTGGATTAGCTCTTGCTCAACAGCTTTACTTGTCTCTTAAGGCACATGGTGAAGGTGATCTTGGAACTCAAGCTCTTATCTTGTCTCTTGAGCGACTCAATAATGTGTCTCTTGATTTGTAAGGTCAAATCTATCTACCTGTTACGTTTCTGATGAATCTGTGATCCACCTATGAACTTTAGCTTGTGTTTTTATGTTAAATCTGGAAAAAAGATTCCAACTTTTGTGTACCCATATGTTGCTACAGCATGATTTTGGTCAATCTACTCGTTGTGACTTATGTTCAAGACCCACCCATAATCTTGAATTTTAGCTGGAGGTTTATTATGTCAATCTGGAAAAAATATTCGAACTTTTGTTTAACATCAATCTACTCGTTGTTTTGTTCATGATGATATGGAAAAATAGATGAATCTTATATACCCAGAACTCCAGTGAGTATTGAATTTTGTACTTTTTACAAAGTATCTGGTTATAAAATCCCAGAATCTGAAGAACGGGTTCTTTTATTTTTCCAAGAAGATGAAAAACAAATATTTCTCCCAAAGAAACTTATTTGCTACAAGGAGAGTTGTTGGGAAGAGAGAAAAACAGAGACAAAGTTGTTATGCTTTTCTTGACGCCTGAGACCTTTGCTTAGGCTTTCTTTCTTTTGCTTCGTTAAATTACTGAAAAAATGGTGCAGATTTTGTTTTCTGCAAGGTTTTTAAGAGTCTTCAGCTTCAAGGTACTGAGAGTGAGAAGCTGCGAGAAGTGCAGCTCCAATCCCTGATCCATCATTGGAGTGAATGACCTCAATGCTACCTGAGGCTTCATCTCCGAGCAACTCTTTTAGTGAGCTCTCCATGCACTCACTAAACTGAGTGTAATGCTCAAACAGTCCACCGTCCATGGCGATAACCGATTTCTGTATCTCCTCGTCTTTGTTCGTATCTCTTCCTATTTTCTTTAGAATACCGTAGATTCCAGCAGCAGAGAGACGAGCGCCTCGAGTAGCTATAATGTTGCAGAGACTTATCACAACTTTTCTCATTTTCAGAGAAGTTGAAGGAAGCTCCAATATATCCTTCATCTTGCTCCCAACAATCTTCAAATCTGGAGATGTGTCGTTGTGCATAGCCGACATGTGAGGGGTCCTGCAAATGGTTGAATTTTAGACAACCCATTCCGCAAAAGGATGAAATCTTAGACAAACCCATTCTGCAAATGATGAAACTTTACTGATATAAACTGCGTAAAACCTAAAAGTAGTTTTAAGTACCTAATTATGAATGGTATTCTTAGCTTAGATGGAACGGTGTCGCCAAAGAAAGCAGCTTCTTCAGCCATCTTTAGAAGAACTCTACGCAAGATCTCTCCCAGATACATACCGGAAATGATTTTCTCAAGAATCTGGAAAAGAAAAACCCACATAGAATCTTATTCTTGTTACAGTTTGTAGGTATCGAAATTTGTAACATTAGACCCGAGCTTACAAAAGTCGTACCTGCTCGCCTGGATTCAGACTCTCGAAATCCAGTGTGTGATCAAACTCTGTTAATGAAAGATGTGAGGACCTGAAGTTTCCCCATTCCATGTTTATTACCATTTCTCCTGATTTTGGAAGCAGACCGTGCCATTTGGGAATCGCGTGTGCATGCTCAACATAGGCTGCATTTGTCCCAGTGCCTAAAATAACAGCGGCAGCTACATCCGGGTTATAGTATCTACCACCAGCTAGTGTTCCAACCGTATCATTAACCTAATAAAGCAGCAAAATCAACAAACATATGACAAAGCGATTCATTTAGAGAGCATAATGAGATAACTCACAAGTGCTGCGACTCGCATGTCAAGCCCAACTCTTTCCATGGCTTTGTTAAGTTCCCCAACAACATCTTGTCCAACCTATGCGGTCATAGGTTAAACCAAGATCAGGGTAAAGGCAAAACCAAGCATTAAAATAAACAGTTGAAGGGATAAGAGCGTAACTGCTTCTTCAATTGAAAAGCCCTTTGTCCATTTGATGAGAGTACCAGAGGATAAAGATGTCTGCCAAACCGGAAACGAAAAAGTGAAACCTAATTCCCTCTGTCTACCTGCTGGGAGATGAAAATCTTCACCTTCTGTGGCGACAAACTTTGCAAGCGCTTCAGCAATACAATTGAACAACTCCTGAATCCATCATAAAGATACAAAAGATCATATTATATAAGAGATCATTCAAGACTATACACATGATAAATTGTAGAACAGAAACTGACATCTGAACCACCAGTCATCAAATGGGGAGGAATTGAAACTTCTTCGAATTCTTGTTTAACAATACGGTCTTGTTTCCCACCAAGAAGCACACGCATGACACGGAAGTTTGTTCCGCCTAGATCCAGGGCATAAAAGAGACCCTTTTCATCCCTGTTGCATCAATAGTAAAGATTACATAAATTCTCTTGACTTACTACATGAAACTAAAAGCATCGGTTTACAAGATCAAGGTGAAAAAGAAACCTTGTAGAAATGTGACATAACCAATCTCATCCATGTTCTCAGAAACAAATATTCAACAGAAGTTGAACAACAAGCCTTGTAGAAATGTGACATAAGGTGGACCATTTTTCCAAATTTTGTGACGATTAATCTTATCACAAAGTCCACAGACAAAAGGGATGTTTGAGGATAGACTTTTCAAACAAACCAATCCACATCATTGACAAATTTTGAGGTGCTCATTTATTAGTAGTCAAAGAATTGTACTAATAAATTCTCAAGCTTTTACATTTTCTCTATGAAGAAAACAACAGAAGCTAACCAAAACGACCAGCAAGCTCGAACCAGGACTATCAATGAAAAGTTTAAAAAGAACCATTAAACGCTAATGTCTATGAAAATGTATCAGCTAGGCTAAATCCGTATCACTAAGCCAATCAATTACTCTATCTAATCAATACCACAAACAATCCAAAACTGACAAGAAAAATCGTTATGCAACTGAAAATGATCTGATCCAATTTATAAAAATGAAAAAAACGAAAAGAGAGAATGTTTTACCCAGAAGGAAGATTATCAACGTAGCTGATAAGCATCTTGAGTTTACTTCCACCGTCCGATGCAAGACCAGCGTGCATCTCAACGTTCATAGCATCAGCCACTTGTCTCAGCTTCGAGATCGGAGTGGCACAATCTTCCTCAAACGCCTTAAGGATCGCCAAAACTCGTCCCCATTTCCCGGAGCTCTGCATCCGCCGTCGAACAACCACAACAGCCACCACACAAACCGCCGCAGTGCAAACAACCGTCGCTCCAACTGCTACTTTACCCATTTTTTTTTTTTTTTGAATTTCGATTTCGGAAAGGAGCAATACAATGAGCAAGAAGAAGGAATAACCAAAAATGAGGAAATGAGAACCCTCGATGGATCTACACCGATCTTACTCGAGCTTGTGGTGTTTGTCAAACAGTGTTGCTTTTGATTCTCGGCTTGTCCGTAAATCATGGAAACTAATTTTCGATTTTGGAATTTTTTTTTATTTTATTTTTGGTTTGATCTCAGAAGTACCTTTTGTCTAGTTTGGTTTTTTTATCCTTTTTCACTTAAGTTTCTGGTGGAACCAATAACTCTAAGAGCAACATTAACGATGAGATTTTGAGTGTTTCAAATAATAAAATATAATGAAAAGAAAAAAAAAATATTATTTTAATGTAACTGTATGTTGAAATGTATCGATGGATTCGGTGGGCTGAGACGGTTCTTCGTTGGTTCTTCATTTTTCGTGCCATGTGTTGTGGTGTGATTGGACCAAGTTTAATGCTACTATTAAATGATTAAACTATTATTAAAATTAATACTACTTTAATATTAGTGATATCCACATAAAGTTCATTGTTAATGATGTTCTAAAACCTAAACAACCACAAGATTTTAAATTTTAAATTTACAAATACTCGTTATTTTGAAACATTTTTTTCCTTTTATATTGGTGTATAATATTTTAATATTTTTTTTTAAATATTAAATTATTATCGAATGCAATATTAAATTAAATGTTCAATAGTTCAATATTAAA